ATAAAACCGAGTAATAAATGTTTTTAGCACTTATTTTGTTAATATGTTACTTTTAACCCTTATCATTTATATATGAGGGCTTCAGCGTGTTGTACAAATAGAAAACATTTTAAGGATGCTCAAATCAAATTTAGGAATGTTTTGAATAGTTGCCCCTCAATACTGACCCCACTGAATTGGCCCTCATTTAATTTAGTATCTACTATATTCATTTACATCAAAATATAAAAGTAATATATTTTACTATAATTAAATTAAGATATCGTAATCGCTAACCTTTATATGTTTGACTTTAACTGTTTCCCAGTGCAATAACGAAGTGTTGGAATTTTTTCCTACATTAATGTTGGGATAAAGTGGCTCATTAGCTATAATCTGATTTAGTCTGCCAGCAGGATTATATCGCACTTTTTTGATATATATAGAGTAAATTGCATTTTCTTGAATATCTTCATTCCAATATTTTAAAGCATTCTAGCATGATGATTAGAAATTATTTAAAATGTTTAAAAAAAGTTAAAATTTGGGTTAAATTTTTTAAACACTATGAATTTTTTAAATATATCAAACAGAGACCTCCAGTGGCACCATTTGCACGGCCCAGCCCGGATTTTATTTAAGAAATTTTTCCAGCTCTTATTTTTTTTCGGTCCAGCCCGGGTTTTATATTTTCCAAGCCCATATTTTTTTTAAATATTACACTTATTTTTAATTTTTGTAGCTAATTATGGCGATTTAAAATATTAGGTTTGAAAATAAGGCCCAACCCTGGTATTTTTTACGAAATAATTATAGGCTCGGCCCGGCTATAAATAATTTTGTAGGCCGGCCCGGCCTAGGTATCTTTGAAAAAATTAAATACCGGGCTTATGGCCGGGCCTGCAAAAATATAATGAAAATACTACTAATATACATTTTTTTAAATTACAATTAATTATCTTAAAAAATTAAAATTTTATGTAAGATTTCAAATAAAATTGATTATCTATTATTGCATCAAAATCAAGTGTTACTTTAAAATATATATGGGGGGAGGGATATAATAATGCTGTGCTTAGACTTTTGATGGCCCAGGGTGAACCCAAATAATTTTTTTATAAAATTTGGCAGCTTAGAATAAGAAATATTTATAATATATCTTTAATTCAATTCGTAATAAATAACTGAATGGCAATGCTAAGCTTTTGTAATATTTATACTATACTTTCTTTGAATTTTCACTTTCAAACAATATATGAATGACGCATACTAAGACAGTTAGGTTATCAAAAGGTTCAAAGACTCTTTAAATGTTTGGTTCAGGTAACAAAATTTTTAAAGGTTTAGAGCAATAACATTTAATACTGGTTCAGGTTCGAATCTATGAGTAGAGGTCTGCAACAAGCAGAGAGTTAAAAAATTAGGCGGGATAAAAATATTTTAAAACAATAGATAGGAGATTGAATTATTTTCTGGCGCAATGAGCAGACGGGCTTATATTAAATTTTTTTATAAGTTTAATTACTATATAAAATAATTTATAAACATTGTCTGGAAGGCTAATCAAAATTTTTAGATAAATGGTCGGGCAAACCTATTGATTACTTTTTTTTACTATTAGAGGGCCTTCGTGTCAAAAACCCACATATTATAGACCTCTATAACTGAGCATATCTTCTGCATAAATATTTCAAAATTTGTAAACTTACTAAATCATGGTATAGAATATTATCAATGTATAGAATTAAATTTTGATCTAGATTCATCATCTTTGGAATTTTTATTTAAAATAATTCTAAATAAATTACTGCGAGATGAGTAATTATGTAACTTATTTATATTTATAAATAAATAAATATTATAAATATAAAAATATAAATAAATAAAATAAATTTGGTAATTAATTATTTTCATATTTTTTATATACATAATTCGAATGGTAGGGGTTGCCTTTTATAATCTAATCGAATGAAAATATTTAAATTTGTATTATCAATTCTAAACCTTGTTAAAGCTTGCACCAATTTTTCAATTTTGGGGCTGTAAAATTTGAAAAAAAGAAAAATTATTTAGTGCCAAATTTGTTTCTAAAACTTATGCTCGTAAGTAGTTGGGCTATATTGCTAAGCGAATACGTATTTATCATATCACGTCAATACCTCAAAATGTATTATCGCTAATATATTACTGCGAAAAAATTATCGCGAATCGATTACAGAAAATAATATCGTGAATGCAAGCTAAATTAATACCGCCATGCATTATCGCGAATATATTACAAAAATTTATAGCGATTTATTTATAAAATTATTTATTTATATTTGATAAAATATAATTAATATAAAGTAAAAAATTCCTTTGCTATTGTACATTTTTTCTACTTTGTAATAAGGATTTCATCAATTGATATATTTCGATTTTTAAATATTTCGGAAAATATCATTTTGTTACCTTTTGGGAATGCCAGTCCCACGATTTTTTATCACCGAATCTCTTTTTCTCTAAAAAAATCTTTAACTCACTTAGCAAGTTCAAATCTTTTTCAAAAAATTAGAGACCTAGCCTAATTGATGTCTTTATATTTTGTGTATTTATATTATATAATATTAGTTTAATTAAAATTCAATTTGAAAATATTTTATGGAGTGGAATGAATAATTATTTATCCATCAACAGAGAATATGAGTTGTTTTTTAGAAAATTAAAAATACTAATATTTAACAAAAAATAACAGTTGAGTTGTGAATGACAATTATGCAATAAGTATAGTCCTAAACCAGGGGCGTGAGTTGTTAAAACGATGAATAAAATATTTATTTGCTTTAGTGATTTTAGTAATTCTGAGGCACACTGGACATTCCTTAGAGATATCATTATTTGATAGAATATTAGAAACACAATATGGATTTACCAATATTTATTGAAATAATTATTTAGTATAAAAATTTATAATCTTTTTAAAAAAGTAATTTGCAGAAAATAATGCAAAAATATTATGTGTGGTCAATTAAGGATTACTATAAAAATAACCATTTTTAGTCCACTTTTGCATTTTTACTCAAATAAATGTACGATTTGTGATATATCAAATGACCCTAGCCAGTGGCTTAGCCAGGATTATTAATGGGGGGGGGGGGGTGTTAAAAATATTATATATTATTAATTTTTCATTAGTTATCTTTATATCGTATTTGTTAAAGTTATCTGAACAATTGGAAATACTAATTCTAAAATTTGCCAATGTTTTGTACTTTATTAGTGTCTAACCGCTATAGTAGCCAGCATAAATGGAAAAAATACTAGCAACAAAATTGAGACCAAAATGTTTAATAGGACTGAAAGCATCAATCTGAAAATTTTATCAATGTTTAGTGTTCAATCGTAAATTAATTCAATCCATTCGGTGAAAAATCGCCTCCCCAAATCTCCCATTTTTTATGATCACTCAATATAGCTTATTTTATGTTAAAATAATTATTTCAATAAAAAGATTTACAGAGAATTTCATTATAGATTCTATTTATTATTAAAATATAACGTCCCTTTATTTAACTATATATTTATTTTAATGATAATATAGTAAAAAAAATTTCATAATATATAAATTTTTATAGAAAATTTATTGTAAAAACTGTATTTTAAAAAAATACAAGTATTTGCAAGTAACGGTATTTAAAAATTATAATTAATATAAATGAAAAAACTGTATTTTAAAAATATCAGAGTTGTTAAAGAGTATCTAGATCCTGTATCTAGATATAAAAATGTGGTATCTGTATCTCTATCTAGATAGATTTTTGATTAAAATATCTGTATCTAGATATTATTTTAGACGATGTATCTGTATCTAGATCCATTTAAAAAGTATCTTTTAACAACTCTGAAAAATATACAAGTATTCTTGTTGCAAATAACGGTTTTTAAAAATTATATATAAATGACTATATTATCAAAATATAAATAATTCTTATTGTGCAATACTATTAAAAATAGTATAATATAAAAAATATATAAATATTATGACTAAGAATCTATTATAATTAAGTGTTGCATATAAAACTATTATGACTAGGAACATATTATAATCAGGGATTCGAACCGAACCCGAACCCGGAGAAGTGAACCCGGGTTTTTAGAAAAAAACTCTGAACCCGAACCGAACCTGAACCCCATTTATAAAATTTCCAAAACCCCGAACCGAACCCAAGAATTTTATTTGAACCCGGGTTCAATCGGGTTTAGTGTATTATTTAAAATCATATATTAATATATGTAAATACAAATATTATATTTTCAAATTTCCAATTAAATGAAGTCTTAATAAATTTTAAACAACTTAATTCATTTATACCATTTTTAAATTTATTCTCGATTCCTATTGGAGTGTTAAAAAATTTTAAACAATTGAATTAATTTACGCCCATTTATTTTTAAATTTTTATCTTATTATTCTTAAAGATTATTAATTAGAAGAAAATGGTTAACAAATCAAAGTAAAAATTATTATATTGTTAATTTAAAAAATTCTAAACATCTAACTTAAAAATTGTTAAATGTAGGGCAGTTTTTGTGAACTTATTAAAATGATTTTAAAATTTATATATGTTAATCATTTATTTTTGGTTCAGTTTAATTTTTACAAGATATTAATGAAGTGCATATTATAAATGAAATTAAATTTATAAATATCTCTTTTTTAATTCTGAAATCATTGCTATTTAAAAAAATTGTTCTCTTTTTATAGATTTAAGATTAAAGATAAAGTCATATTTGATAAGCATTTTACCCTTAATACAATATAAAAAAAATCAATATGTTCATATTGCAAAGTAAAAATGTCTGGTAATCACTTGTCAAATTTAGAAAGACACCTGGAAAGAAATCACAACAATGAATATTTAAATTATTTAAATGAAAAAACCAAATATCAGGAATTGTTATTGGCAAAAAAACCTAAAATTAATATAGAAACCTTTTTTCCAAAAAAGCATATAAGTATAAATATATCATCTAATGATTTGATGAGTTCTATACTAGAACTTGTTACTGTAAATGGCCGGCCTTTATCAATTATTGAAGATTCGGGATTTCAAAGAATTATAAATCCACTCCTTGCTGGGCTCAATTTAGTTATAAACAAAGAAAATTTATCCAGAACTATTAATAAAACAGCCCAATCAATTAGAGACAAAATATCGAGAGAGGTAGAAGGAAAATTAATAAGTTTAAAAGTTGATGCAGTTCAACGACTAGATAGGTCAATTCTTGGTGTAAATATTCAATTTATATCAAAGTCCATTATAAATTTGAGGACTCTTGGAATTGTAGAGCTGAAAGAGAGATGTACAGAAGAATATATAAAAGAGAATATATTTAAAACTTTACTAAAATTTAAAATTAATATTCAACAAATATACACAATTACTTCTGATAATGGTTGTAATTTTTTAAGAGCTATAAAGCTCCTGCAATCTGAAACTGATTATGATATAAGGAGTGAATCAGCAGATGAGGAAAATATGGATGTAAATGTATATAAATATGATATTGATGATATACAAAATACTTTTTTATCAACTATTATATCCTATCCGATTTATAGTGTACGGTGTGCAGCTCACACACTTCAGCTGGCACTTCAAGATGCTATAAAATTATCACCTATTGTGGAAACCATTGCAAAAGCTAGGAGCCTAAATTTAAAATTAAGACATCCCACTTACCAAAAGTTATTAAAAAATATGAAACTCCCTAAGCCTGTGTTAGATTGCCACAGATGGCATTCAACCCATGATATGTTAGAAAGGCTGATTTTACTAAAACCCAATATCGAAGATTTTTTTACAGAGCAATCTGATTATTTATTGACTGAAGATTGGAAAGAGATAATAACGATTGTTGAAATTTTAAAACCGCTAAAAATCGTAACCAAACAATTCCAATCTGAACAGTTAACACTGACAGATTTTTATGCAGCATGGTTAAGATGCTGCATCGAACTGGAAAAAAATCCAAACCATTTTGCTCAATTACTATATTCTTGTCTTAAGAACAGAGAAGAAAGGTTTATAAAGAACGAAATTCTCTTAGCTGCCATATACCTGGACCCAAGATACAAGGTTAATTAAAAGCTTAGTAAATTAATTATTTTAGATTTATATTAAAATTGTTATTTTATGAAATATTTAAATATAAACAATATAAATCCTTAAATATTACAGGTATTACTTAGTGATGATGATAAGATTTGTGCGAAAAAACATCTTGTCAATTTATGGAGACGAATTAAAAGCTTAACAACGCCGATTTTATCTGATGATATTAGTTCCGATGAAGTTATTGAACAAGAAGATGATTTAGAGAAATTGATACAACTTAAAGAAAGGCAGGAGAAAATATTTAAAAGAGGGCCAACGATTGCTGAGAAAAGTATTGGAACAATAATTACTAGATTTAGCGATTATAAAAGATTAGATAAGAAGGAAAATATTTTGCATTTTTGGGAGTCTGCTAAGCTGGAACACCCTGAATTATATATTTTATCTAAAATCTTATTTGCTGTTCCTGCAACCCAAGTTAATTTTTCATATTTTCACATATAAATACATTTAACATAGGTTAGCGTTGAAAGATCTTTTTCACATTTGAAATTCATTCTTTCACCACATAGATCGAGGATGAGTGAACAACTCTTGGAAGATATTATGCTAATACGTCTAAATAAAATTTTTAAAATTGATACATGACTATATGCTTTGTATTTTTAACTATATTTGCCTATAAATAAAATAAAAAATTTATTTTTTATATCAAATTTATGTCTAATTTTTTATTATGATTTAAATATATAATTTTTTTTATCAACTCAAAAATTCTTGAACCCGAACCGAACCCGAACCAAACCCGGGTTCAAAAATATTTCCCTAAACCGAACCCGAACCGAACCCACCTTTTTTTTTATACCCCGAACCGAACCCGAACCGAACCCGAACCGAACCCTGGCAAAAATTTTGTCGGGTTCGCATCCCTGATTATAATCATATTGCAATTTTATGATTTGATTTATAAAGAGAGGTCTACTTTTCTTTGAGATTTGGCTAATTCAGCTAGAATCAAATTTTAATCTAGAATAATCCTTATAAATATTTAACAGGGCTAATCCATTTAAATGGTTTTCACCGGTGCTATTTCTTAAATAGGTTTTTGCTTTCATTAGTGCAGGTACTAATCGGTAAGTTAGCTAAAATAAAAACAATGCAATTACACATGCAAAGTGCCTGCAAACATTTTTTGGACGCAAAGAGTATTCTATTCTGTCAAGATTTTTATACCAAAATTAGACGTCACAAAGTAACTTATCATACGATTCTAATAAATCATCAGAATAAAACTCTGAGATTTTCTTAATATCCTCTCGTATTTCAAGTGTAATCAACAATTCAGACTCAACCGGTAAAAGAAAATAAAAGCTTTTAAATAAAATTGTGACTAATAAATTCACCCATTAATTGAAATAAAAATGTATCAATAAGGGAAATAAAAATATTATTTTAATCCTCAATCGTAGATACATCAATATTTATTACTTCATTATGGAGAATCAAGCGCGTACGTAGGAATTTGGTCTGGAGGGGGGGGGATAATAAATTTTTTAAAGAAATATTGTTTTTTTTTAAATATCAAGCATAAATTTATTAGGACTAGTAATTTCTAATACATAATTTTAAATTAATGTGAATTATAAAAAAATTATATGTAAAGAATCACTTAAATGACCCAAATAGAAATTTGAATTTTTTGAGCCTTTAAAATTTATATATAAAGTATAAAAAATTTAAATATTAGAAATATAAATTAAAACACAAAAAGTTTCTTAGGAATAATTGTATTTTGTATGTATTATTTACAATGTAAAATCCAATCTTCGTTGGGATATATTAATTTTTCAATTATCACATCCTTGCCTGTTGTCAAATTGCCTATGAATATTCAAAAGATCCAAACCTTTTCAGAAGTTGTACTTCTTGGTATGTTTTTCATAGACCTGCAGGCCCGGCCCCAGGGCCGAAATTTTTAAAAAAACACCCAGGCCGGGCCAGAAAATTTTTTTAAAAATAATATTAGGGCTGGGCTGTATATTTTAAAACAGCCTATATTTGAAATCGTTATTATTAGCTATAAAAATCAAAAATAAATATAATTTATTTTAAAAAAATCCGGGTCGGGTCTGAAAATTTTATTTAAAAAAAACCCGGGCTGGGCCTGAAAATTTTTTTAAAAAAAGCCAGGCCGGGTTTGAAAATTTTTTAAAAAAAACCCGAGCTGGGCAGTAAAAATTTTTAAAAAAATCCGGGCCGTGCCCTGCAAATGGTATTTCTTCAGGGCTCTGTTATTCTTCTTAAAAAAGAGAATGTTCTATCATTAGTTTACTAATGGGAAGAGTTGCTAATATATATAAACCCTTTTAATACATTGGGAATATAATCTAAAATGTGTTTGAAATAATGCAGAGCATCCATTGCATTTTTTGGGACTATATCAACCATAGTTAATCTTATAAACATAGTTATTCAGCTAATAAGGCATCATGAGATACTTTAACATCTTCATGATAAAAATCCAACAAATATATTTTTTTCTATCACTATCTGAAAAAGGTTGGGAAGGCTTTTTATGGAAGTAATATTTGCAGATTGTTAAGTACTGCATGATGAATTAAAAACCTCATTTATTTGGGTTATAAATGTATTATCTGTATCTAAGATATATACTCTTCTACTGATCCTATATTAATGTTTTAACTATGAGCTTGCCTTGCTGCAAGTCGAGTGAGACAAATATTAAACACGTATAGCTCTGCTTTTGACTAACAATAACATATAAAATATGAAATTCTTCATCAACATTAGTCCTAATTTCTTTGTATTCTAATAAAATGCTCTCCGCTATTCTCATCTTCTTAATCAAGTCAATGTCATGTTTTTGAAAAGTAATACTAATTAAATAATACATTCTAATGAGAAATAAAATTTGGAATAAGCATTGAATCCAATAATTTTCTTGCTTCTGAGGAAATATTTCTTTCAGGCCATTGTGATATTTCAGTAATAGCAAATAATCGACTCTTCTAACTCCATAAAAGATGTTTCTGCTTGATGGCGGAGACTCTATCTCGTTGGACAAGGTTGCAATTTCTTTCTCCCTGTTGGATAATTTCAGAATAATTATTATTTGACTAGAAATAAAAAAATAATAAGATAATGTTACGCCGAAAAACTTGAAATCGAAATTAATTGATAAAAATAACTTAGTTGATGAATGTGATGTCCCCTTGCCCTTCTCCCGCTGCGTACGCGCCTGCGGAGAATAATACTCTATCTCAGAAGTACGACAAAAAATCGATTGAATGGCTTAGCATTACTTAATATAGATATAGATTTAATCTTCAATTATAAAACAAATTATTGAAAAATTGGCGCAATTGCAAAGAATATAAAATTTCCATATATGAACGATATTTTGATTAACTTTTAAATCATCATATAATCTTTAAATCTGTATTTTATGTGATTTACATACGGGGCTATATAGCTATACTATTTTTTAACAATATTATATTCACTCTTAAATATTTTGTACCTTCCAATATTTATAATTATTATTATTCGATTGTCATTTTTTAAAATATGATTAGTTCATATTATGATTCTATAAATTATTAATGTTCTAAAAGAAATCATTCAATATTTAAAAAAATAACGCCCCTCCGCCTTTTATAGAAAATTTCTGGCTACGCTTAAGATTCATTCATTGATTTTGATTCATTTTCACTCGAATCTTCCCCTCTTATATTTAATTTCATGTTTATTAAGATGTATCATTTATAATGGTATATGTAAATATAATTTATACATTGGATTTAATTTATCCCATTTTATAATCATTTTTAATATTTTATATAATAGGCGTGTAGAATTTTTATAATGCTATTTATTTATATTTATATTTATATATTAAATTATTATTTTCTAAATTTAAATATTAAAATTAATAAAATATGAATTGTATTGTATTGATAAAAAATAAATATAAAATCTATAATCGGGTAAAATTGTGTTTTGATGTGCTGTTTAGATTTAATGCTATTAGATTCTATAAAGGAATGACTGATTATCTAAAGGTTGCATTGACGTACGCAGCGGAGAAGGGGCAGGGGGACTAATTCCCCCCCCCCCCCCTCCCCCCAAAAAGCCAAAAAATGCAGATGCCGGATATATTTTTCAAAAATATTAATGGTTATATTAATTTATATTTGTTAATATTTATTCCTATCTCATATTACATATATATTTAATTCATTTATTTATCACAATCTATTAAATTATTTTTATAATTAATTTCGTTTTCAAGTTTTCATTGGCGTAATATTTACCTATTATTTTTAAATTTCTAGTGGCGTAATATTTATCTACCATTTTCATATTTCTAGTCAAATAATATTTTTCTGAAACTCCTTGTCCAACAAGGAGAAAGAAAGTGCAAGCTTGTCCAACGAGATGGAGTCTCCGCCATCAAGCAGTAACAGCTTTTATGGAGTTAGAAGAACCGATTATTAATGCTATTACTGAAATATCACAATGGCCTGAAAGAAATATTTCCTCAGAAGCAAGAAAATTATTGGATTCAATACTTATTTCAATTTTTTTTTCTCATTAGAATGTAATATTTAATTATACAACTATTTTATGTAATATTTTTCAAAAACATGGCATTGACTTGATTAAGAAGATGAGAATAGCGGAGAACATTTTATTGGAACTCAAGGAAATTAGGGCTAATGTTATTGTTGAGTTAAAATGAGAGCTATACGTTTTTAATATTTGTCTCACTCGATTTGCAGCAAGGCAAGCTCACCTTCAAAACATTAGTATAAGATCAGTAGAAAAGTATTATAAAACTATAATCCAAATAAATGAATGGTGTTTAATTCATCATGCAGCACTTACCAATCTGCAGATATTACTTCCACAAAAGCCTTCCCAATCTTTTTCAGATGGTGATAGAAAAAAAAAAATATTTGTTTGATGCCTTATTAGCTGAATTACTATGTTTAGATTAACTAAGATATAGTTCCAAAAAATGCTATGGTTGCTTTGTATTATTTCAAACACATTTTAGATTTTATTCCCAATAAATTAAAATATATTTATTATCAACTCTTCCCATTAGTAAACTAATGAGAGAACATTCTCTTTTTTAAGAAGAATAACAGAGCCCTGCAGAGATACAATTTGCAGGGCACGGCCTGGATTTTTTTTCAAAATTTTTTTTCGGCCCGGCCCGGGGGTTTTTTTAAAGAAATTTTCAGGCTAGGCCCAGCTTTTTTTAAATTAAATTTTTCAGGCCCGGCCCGGATATTTTTAAATAAATTATATTTATTTTTGATTTTTATAGCTAATTTCAAATATTTGGTTTTAAAATATATAGCCGGGCCCGGATAATTTTTTTTTAAAAATCAGGCCCGGCCCGGGTGTTTTTTTTTTAAATTTTCAGCCTGGGGTTTTTTTAAAAAAAAATTTGGGCCCTGCCCGGGTGTATTTAAAAAATTAAAATACGGTCCGGCCCGAGAACCGGGTAGCAGTTATCTGAAAACATACCTAAATAGTACAACTTCTGAAAGTGGATTAAATGGTTTGGATCTTTTAAATATTTATAGGCATTTGACGCCGAGCAAGGATGAGTAATTCAAAAATAGCTCAATCCCAACGAAGA